CTGTGAATATTGCCTTAGGAAGTGTAAAGGTTTAGATTTGTAAATAAAACTTTACTTATTCATGAGTAACTAAATATGTTCAGTTACTCGTGAATAATATTTTGTTAATGAATATATTTAGTTAATAAAAATACCTGGATTATCAGGTATTCCAGGTATTCTTATTAATACCTGGATTAAAATAAAAAAATAATAACTAAATAAAATAAAATTAATAAAAATAATAGCTGAATATTTAGTTGTATGAAAGAGGAATTATTTTTTGGAGAAATATTGGACGGATTGAGAAGATTTTAGGTTGAAATTATTTGAGATATATGGCGTTGTTAGTTATATGAAGCATATTTGGTTTGGTGAAATTTCAGATGTGGACGTAACCCAAGAATTGCACCATCTAGAGGCGAGTTTAACAGAGGAGTACGAGAGGGGNTTATTTTGAGATATATATGGCGTATCTGTTATATGAAGCATATTTGGTTTGGTGAAATTTCAGATGTGGACGTAACCCAAGAATTGCACCATCTAGAGGCGAGTTTAACAGAGGAGTACGAGAGGGGTAGGAAGGTGGCCGATTTATACGAGTTGGTGCAGTATGCCGGGAATATTATTCCGAGATTGTGAGTTCGTTATTTGACTGTGTTTTATTGTTCATTTGGTTGTTTTGATTGATAATTGAGATGGATTATTTCAATTTGTTCATTTGGTTCTCTGTCATATCAGCCATTACCTAAACATTTTGGGTAGGACATGTGAGGTCGGTTTTCAAGTGTATTATTTGAAGGCTTTAATGAGGAATGTTTGAGGATGTTGGCAGAGGAATTGAATGTTGGATTATTATTATTAGTGTTGTTATGGTGTTATGGAAGATTATTGTAACTTTTAGATATTTGCNCCTTCGAAATCATTTACTGCTCTGCACAAGAAGTCTTCTACCAGATTTGCCTGAGTCCAACAAGTAGGTTGTGAATGTTTCATTAACTCAATGTTAATGTGTACGATTAACCTGGATACCTGGATCAGGTATTCAGGTGAATGTATACGATTACTTTTATTTGATATTGTGCTATTTGTTGACGTTTTATTTGGACTTTTTGGTGTGTTGGTTTCGTAGAAGTTTCTCATTATAATGCTCACAGTGATGGAGATTTCTGAGTTAGATCAAGCAAGTTGAACGATTGAGATTGATTCGAAACGCAAGATGTTGCCTTTGGATTAGTTTTGAATAAAGCTTAAAAAATTCGAAAATTTCTGCTGGATATAATTTGAGAGTATTGACTGATTTGTTTTATTATTTCACACATAAATTGAACAATTTATAAGATTGTGCTTTGGCATATTTAATGTGAATTTTCGTGGATGGTGTTTGTTGTATTTCAGAGATGATCGTGGTAATGTGAATGATGCGATCGATTTCGTCATGCTGAACTTCAGCGAGATGAACAAACTGTGGGTGAGAATGCAACATCAAGGACCGAGTAAAGAACGGGATAAACGTGAGGTGGAACGGCGTGAGTTGAGGATTTTGGTTGGGACGAACCTGGTGAGATTGTCGCAGTTGGAGAATTTAACAGTGGAGATGTATAGGAAGGTAGGCAGCAGCCATCTTTTTAGCCATTTCATTTTGCGTATTTGGATTTGTGTATGAGAATGAGTGATCTGAGTGGATATCAGTTAAGTTTTTTAGTGAAGTGATTTGGTAAGTTTTATTTTTTGTGATTAATCGGTTTATGTTTTGAAATGTCCATTGGGAGAGTTCTGTGAAGATTTAGAATAGCAGTTTAGAAAGGCGGTCGTTTCGAGAGGATTTTTGGTTGAGTTGTTCGATTATGCGATAATGTGGAGATGCAAAAAATTGTCGTAGTATTATAGAAATTATGCGAGCGGTTCTGATAGTATGAAATGTTGAGGTTGTTCTACCGGGTATCCTGGAGCAGTCAGTATCGTGTAAGGATGCGATCTCACAA